AGACTTTGTTATAGGTTATCGAGGTCCAGTAACCCGAATATGTAATCGCTTTTTCGCGGCGAGCTTTCATTGGTCAGAAAATAGGCGCATCCCAGAGTCAAAAGCTCTAAAGGTAGATTTTTTATTTTAACTCCGAGCTAAATTCTTAGGTAAGTTTGTAATAGGTTATCGAGGTCCACGAATCCGAATCTGGCATCGTCGATGGCGCCGCGGAATCCAATAGTTGAATGATGGTTGTTTTCGATGGGTTTTCCGCTGTAAGATTGCATTGGATTCCGAACCCGGGATCCGATAGTTGAATGATGGTTGTTTCCGATGTGGTTCCAGTTGTAGAATGTGATTGGATTCCGATCCCGTAGATCGAAGTCGGATTCCCCTCGGATTCCTCAACCCGGTAATTCGATGTTTTCCTATAGGATCCTTATCAGATCCTATTGTGGGATTGATCGACCTGGGAGTGGACGTTCAGATGGTGGAGGAGGAAATGTGAATTCAAACTCTTTTAATTCAGACTAGTACATCACTTATACATCACTTATGGAAGGCCAATATTTCAGGGATGGGCGAGTCGCATTATTTGAATGACTTGGACTCGACTCGGACTCAAGAATTTAGTAGCCATGACTCGACTGTTTGACTCGAGTCAGTCGAGTCATTTATTCGAAAGAGTTAATTTTTCTTTAAAAAAGAATTTCATTTTATAAAATTAGGCACGCATGTGTTCACAACTTTCGTTCTAATCGAATATATTTCATTCGAAAGAATTTCCAAGAGGTTTTTTCTATATCTATGTATTTATATGCTCAGAAAAAGATCGTCTTAATAGAGTATTGAATGCAATTTTTTTCTCCTTGTTTTGTTTCGGATTATTTTGAAGGATGCACGTGTTTATCTATGAAAATAAAAAATGCTTATTTCCAACGTTACAATTTGATTCAAACAAAAAACCAAAAGTTGATAACTTAACTCCGAATTCAGCTTCAGAAGAGATTGATTACTTTCTCCAAGAAGAAAATTTAACTAGCGATCTCATTTTCAAAAGAGAAATTTCATATACCTGTCTTAAAAAGTCTGCTAGAAAAATTATGTGCCTGCTACATCTGCACCAGTTGAACGTGTCTTTTCTCGAAGTGGTCTTCTAATGAGAGACCGAATCGTTCGCGTTTTACAGAAAATAATATCTGTATTTTAATATCTTTGAAGTGCAATAAGACATTAATTTGAGTGTAAATAAATCCTTTTTTTTGTAAGATTTAAATTAACTTATTGTTTAAAAAAAGTTTTTTTACGTAATATGTAACTGTATAAAAAAGAGCTGATTTTAATATTATCTTTTTTTGTTCAATCTGGAATAGTTGTTTATAGATATTGTGGAATGACAAATTGTTGTTAAGGCCTTTTGCATTTAATAAAATGGAAAAAAGCCTGCTCAAAATAATTTGAATCGACTCGAGAAAAGGCTTGACTTGCCAATCCCTGCAATGTTTAGAGGAGAAAAGTATTCATATTATTTATAAATGTTCATTGAATCAAGATATTAGGTTCTGCATAGAGATACTGATGATGATATTCAAATGAGTGAATTTGCTTTACAAAAGAACACTCCTTTGGGATTTGCTGACCTAGGTTTACTTGCTACAGTGGAACTACAAATAATACATGTTTATGATGAATCTCGTGTAGTCGTTCTTTCAACTGATAGTGAGAAAATTCTTGATAGTAACAAAATCATGCTTATGAGGATATTAAAAGATTTAAATACACAACATGCTATTTACTTTCAGTGTGGCATTATAGATGACGCATGACTTTGATTCTTATTCCGTATCTATCCAAACAGCTATTTCGAGAATTTATTCTAATAAAACAGCGGTTACTCAAACATTACACTCTAATCATCCAATAATTCATGTGCAGGTATATATATATGTCGTATCGAAGTTTCACCGATCGACGAAGTTATAACTTCGACAGAGAAATTTGTCAACGTTATTTTTAATTCACTTATCAATAAATAATTTACCAAATTGAATATTCTGATGCTGAATGTATGATAAAAAATTAAGTTTTTTCTAACAAATACTCATTTATTTAACGATATCGTTAAATAAATGAGTATTTGTTAGAAAAAA